AGCTGAAATGGACGATGAAAAAAAAAATGTTTATAATTACTCTAATTCGATTATTTAAATACAACATCAAACGTAAATGTGTGTGAATGTACAAGTGACGCGTTTCAAGTGCCGTGGAAGAAAAAGCACTTGTTATTTAATTTCAAATGATAAAACGGTAAAAAGATAAATGATAAAAGTGGAGGAAAAATCACAAATAAAAATCGAGTGTCATCCTTTTACGTAAAAAATGCTTGACATATTTCGTATCGTAACTATTGCAATGTATACGTGTACGTACTTACGTCACTGTAATGAAATATTGTACTGTAACCAGTTCTGCACTATTGACGCTATAAATGCGGAATTTTCGTGCAACCCTCCAGCGGGTCTTTAAATCTTCGCAGAACATTGAGGTGGATTATTTTATCAAATAAACGATAACATTCTGTTTTTGTTTCCATTTTATTTAAATAAAAAAAAACAATACTGAATTGTATTGCACTCCAGAATAGGTGCCGTTAATTGCATTCATGTAGTACATTAAGTTGTAACAAAAATATCGTCCAGTTAAAATAATATACCTACCTAGAATACTAGACCCATTTATTTTTCACGTTATCTTTAAGATAAAGTATTATAAGTAGGGCTCGGAAGTTGTTGTATTTGCATGTTTTTTTTGTACTATTGGATTTATTGCTAAGTGAGCTAGAAATTCATTCGAAGACACTACGAAAAACATATCAATAGTGCATATTTTTGCATATTTAGTGATTTTTAGATTTTTTAGAGTATATTTTTTGATTTTAAAATTTTTCAGACCATATTTTATAATTTTTGAAGATTCAGTATGAAAATTCAAAAAATAAAAAAAAATAAATACATTCATATTGAAAGAACTTTCTTGATATTCTTGTATCGTATTTTTCAAATTTCCATTTGACATTAAAAACAATGTTTTTCCCTTATTGATTAATATAGTACATATATATATATATATATATATATATGTTTATAAATTATAACTACAGCTAGCTTCAATTAAAATAAAATATCAAATGGGAACAGCTGCTATCAAAATATGATGATTTTCTATAAATACTTTTCTAGGAAAATAACTCAATGATTATTGAACATTGTACAAGTGTATATGCTCCATATATCGCTCCAATGATTATACTAAGGACGATAATTGTAAAAAAACTATACCTCTTCCTTTTATCTGTTTTCAAAATCTTGTCTAGACAGAAAAGTCTTAACTAAGAAACACGATTGTTTTTTAACAAGTCTTTTTAGACTATGCCTCCTCTGTCTAAATGTGACTTCAATGTTATGATGATTGGTAAACAGAAAACGTTTCTAATAAACTTGTTTTTAATTTTTAATAACTTTTAAATTATTACCGAAATAGCAACTCCGTAAAATAATATTATTCATAAAAATTGTATTGATAATTAAAGGAAAAAGAATAAAAATATAAATTAATTTCAAATCCAAATTTTAAAGGGTAAAAAAAATGTATTCTATTAAAATATAACAAAACGAAAAATAACACTATGTCTGCTAGCACAATAATTAAATTACGATCGAGAAAATTACTGTTCTCGAAAGGAGCCTCAGCCGGGACTGACAAACCGAAAATTCGTGAATGCATCATTGCCCTTCTTTTCCGGAACCGTTTTCTATACAAAACATTATATTTTGTTGTCTCCTCGTGTGTGCTTCATCAACGCCTTATAATTGTTTCTCAATATTATAAACATGACAATTTTATTTACTTCATGTTACACATATACGACAATATCTATTTCTTCGGTACACAAAGAAAAAAAAAACATCAAAAAATAAATAATAATAATACGCATCAGTTAAAATGTCCAATGAACAATTTCATGATTTTGTTTAACATTCGTATATCTAGAACAAATATTATTCGAATATTTGATAATAATTTGTTTTAATCGTATTATAACGATACAATCGTACTGCATTGTTTTATGCAGTTAAAAAAAATCTAATACCTGCATCAGAGGCAACTGAAAAAAAATAGGCTCTTCAGCCGTGATGTCCCGATGCGTTTCATCCCTGTGCCCCTTCCACATCGAGGAATGCGGAATCGCTCGTATCGAGTTTATTTGTTATTTTATCGAGATGTGCCGTCATTGAACCGTCAGTGTACTACTGTGCGTGGCGGAATGTTATACTTCTAAACCAGCGTTTCTCAACCCGGTGGTGGCATCCGTCAGAAATAATTAAACGCTGGTGTAGAAAAACAACCTTTTTATTCGCATTAAAAAATAAAAATTTAATACACCACCGTGTTGATGAAAATGAAAAAGCTTGTAGTGTAAACATACTGTAAACTTCGTTTCGTTCATCTAGCAATTCAAAAACTCGTATTTTTGTTTCGGTACCAGGTTAACGATGTAATATATTTTGAAACTGGTAAGACGGATAAAAGCTTGAATCAGTTCTTATCGTAAGAATGGGGGAGGGGGAGCCACGAGGGGTGAGAGGTATTGTTTTTTTTTTTTTTTCATTACCTATTTCTGAGCGTCGCGACGTTAAAAATGTCGAGAAACTCTGGTCCGGACCGTGCGGTTATGATTCGAAACCGCCGCTAGATAATTGGTTTGCTCGGTGTCGGCAAAATCTGCAATGTGCGAACGCGTTAACTGTGTACGTAATCAATTGGCGTGACTGTGAAAACGATCGCGACAAAACGCTTTCGACGGTCTACCGTTTGTACGGTGGCGCGGGTCGTCGCGGCGCAGACACGTATGTTTGTGTATAACGTAAACACCGCTGTGTATGTAAATTAATGTAAATGCACCTACGTCCACAATGGGAATAAGATCGTATTTCACTTTTGGTCGTTCCATATATATATATATATATATATATATATACGTACGTACGGACGGTCTCGTGTTCGTAAAGAAAAATAAATGCGCACCGAAATAATGATTTGAAACGGTATAATAACACGGTTTACGGTTTCTCGACACACGTGTACACCAGTGGTTTTTAACTTTTTTCGGATCGCGACCCCCCATTTTTTATTTTTGTGTAATGCGACCCCTTCAAAAAAAAAAAAAAAAAAATGTTGTTTTATTCATAAAAATTTGATTTAATTACCGATAAAATATTTACATGATAAACAATTTTGATTAATTTACACTTAAAAATTTCATTAATTAAATAATTTACTTTGTTTTTCTTTTTTTAAATAATACCTATGGAAAAACCATTTAATCCATTATTTTTGGTGACCCTCAGGTTGAAAACCACTGGTGTACACCACAACAGGGATACCGAATAGTACGGCACGGACTCACTTATCCTTCTATTATTGCTACGATAAAATGATACGCACAAAACAATATTTTGGAGGGGTCTTAAGTTGTGCATTTTCATACTTATATGATCTGTGCACTACTTAAACTCTACAAAAACATAAAAACATATTTAATAATTTTCCTGAAATTCGGGGAGGGGAGTTTAAACCCCAGCCCCTTGTGTACGCACCTGACTACCCGTGTACGGTCAACTCGTTCTCCAGCCTTATTTCACGCACCCCATATGTCACCATCAATATCAATTATACTTGGATAATTGACCGACAATGTCTAACGCCGACGCGGATCCATCTCCTTCAGCAACTGTAATCTTGTACATGCTGTTTTCTTCCACTCCTTTTTCTATGATCATCGTTACATATCATCTAATTTATCTCAGTACTTACTACGTATTATGTAAATATTCAAACGAGTCGATCGCAATGTTAAAATGATATTTGTATTATAGTTTCACATTTTTTGAGAATCAAATATTAAAAAAAAAAATCCTAACACGAATATTATAATTACGATCGCCCCGAAAAGTTGGAAACTGCTAACGATAATATACGACTTTACTCGTTGCGGGCCAGTTGTCAAACGTGGAGCTTACAATTTTTGTCCACAAAAAATTGCTGATCTGTTATTCTCTCTGATCGCTTCGACTGCGATTGCTCATCCGTTTCCACCAGTGCTCGACTTGTGGGGGGACGCAGGGGGACGGAGTACCCCAACTAATTTTCAGAAATTTTAGCGTCCCCCTACTATTATTACACTATAATCATAACGCTCAGCCAGTTTTGGGGACGTTCTTTTTTTTAAAGTAAATAGAGTCCCCCTTCTTTAATTTTGCCAAGTCGAGCATTGGTTTCCACTAAATGTATGTACATATACGAAACTTAAAAGTTTCGGTCGTTAGATTCGAGAAATTTGCTCTTCAGTTGAATACAGTATTTTATAATATTTCTTGATGGTAATCTATACTCGTTGGCGGTTAGGTTGATCAAATCTAATATAAATGGTACATTAGTGTCACGCAAAAGTTATCGTTCAGCCTGTTTGGAAATCTATCGGTTTTTGGTTACGGTTTGTAAATAACAACCATTGGCGTTGAAAGGAATTTAATTAAAAGCGTGCGAGGCCCCCTTTGATGGTAAACACAACGTATTATTCGTATTTATACGACTTGAATGGGAATGGATCGATGGGCCGACAAACATAAAATGTATATATTTATTTTTCTAACAAAAAAAAAATGTATATTTTGAAATTTAACGCAACCTGTCGTTTGGGAACCACTGCATTAGACTACATAGAAAAAATTGTGTACAAATTTGTTCATAAGATTTTCTTTGTGGCCAATAAAAAAGAAAAAAATTACTGAAAAGACGCAAAAATCGTGGGGTGTTACAGGTGTAGTAACACCCCCTCCCCCAGCCGTTTATGACTCGTTTATCTGATGTCTCACGAAGATAAATATGCATCGTAAACCGTGATGTACACATATTTATCAAAACGAAATATATATTATTACAACTTCATCATTATTGATTATCATGATGAACTACTGTAAAACCACGGAATAACGTAAAACTTAAAATACCAACCGATCCATCCGAACGTTATCACGCATATCAGTTCCGTGATAACAAATAAAACTAATCAATGAAATATCTTCGTAAGTCGAATGTATGCAATAAGTTCAACATTTTTTCGTAGTTTTGCAAGTACACCTTTGAGTTTCAACTGTAATTAATTATGGATCCTACCAAGAGAGATCTTAAACGAAAAAACACTACTTTACCATACTGCACAAAAACACCTAGATTACAAGCTGATAATCTCAGTCAAAATGGCTTATTCGTAAGTGGTTTTAAATTTGTAAAAGTAGAAAATGATTCTGTTATATTTTATACCAATTAAATGACTGAATTTTAACAAGAATGAAACAGTAGTGGCAGTATCGTTAGCTGAACCTGCATTAATCTCATCGCAATCACATTTATAATCTATGTCTGAATAGCACAATGTAAATAATAAATTAGTTAATATTATAAAATTTGTCATGTAAATACTTGACTTATAATATAAATAAAATATTTACTTGCATTTATTAGTATATTTTGTGTAAATTTTAAATTTTATAAGATTGAACCAGTAGCTCTTACAACAGTTATTTTTCCTATACAAATAGTTATTGGTTTATTTATTGGTCAGTTCGAACAGTCCACGTCTCGGGTAGAAAATATATTTACTTGTACACCTAGATATTACCTTGTAAAATAATATTTTTGATTCTAAGTTTGAAATTAATTAAGTTATAAAATATTAAGTATTTAATATTTATATATTAATCGGTATAATATGACATAAGTGCATGTAATACAACGTGTTTACACTTTTATGGTTTTACTTTGTTTATTGTACTATTGTTATGTATGAATTTAGTAAGTGATTATGATATTAAACTATGATTTATATTTCAGATTTTTTATCAAAATAATGCTTTTTTGCACCTTGCAACTTTCAATACATTTGCTTCATAATTAAAATGTATAATATAACTCTAAAATAATTATATTATGCTTTTTGTAATTTTTGCTAATCTGCACATATTATATACCATATATATATAATATGTTATAATGTATGATACATTCAAACTATCAAAATAATGAATATTTTCTGTGAAGTGCATATACTATATTATATGTTTTGTTATGATTACATTCACATAGTACAATCTTGGTATACTTTTAAAACTATTTTAATTGCATCTAATTCTGTAGTCATGTAATATCAGTGATACAGTTATACTGAACGCTTATTGCTTGTTTTATTTTTTATGATTAACTCTTCTCATTGGTATAATATTTTAAAGAACACTTTTAATCCTGATACATCATTTAAATTTCTTGGTAGCGGTAAAAGAAATCTTAAATTTCAAATGAATTGGCTTCATAGATGGAAATGGTTTGCTTATTCAGAAGTTTGTGACAGTACTTTTTGTAAGTATTGTATGTTGTTTTGTCCAAAAAAAGTCATCACTTAAAAACTCGGTCAACTTGTTTTTGAAAAATTTAGCATTTGGCATTGTGCTGTAGAAATATTTAATACCCATCAAAAAGCAAACTATCATATTACTGCCACTTTAAAAGCTCTTGAATTTTTGTCTGTATTTGTAAATAAACAAGAAAGTATTGATAAACTTGATTAACTATAAGTAAACTTGATTCTAAACTAAAATTAGAAATTTAAAATTATAGAAAAATGTTAAGTCAATAATAGAAACAATTTTACTATATGGTCAATTAGGTATTGCTCTTGAGGGATATATAGGTAAGTAGTACTATTAATTTAAGTTTTTTATTTCTTTTCAATATGAGCGAAATTCCAGAGTTATATTAAATTATGGTCTTTTGAATAGCAGTTAAATTAAAAATTTTTTTTGAAAATCTTCCAAAAAAGGCAACATACATCAGTCCTTATATACAAAATGAAATTATAAATATAATAAACAGTTTAGTAACTAAGAAGTTTGTTACTAAAGTTAACCAGGAATATTGTTTTACAATCTTGGCGGATGAAACAACGAATGTAACTGGGATAGAACAATTTTTTATGTGTGTTAGGTATTTTGACAAAAGTACCAAAAGAATAAGAAAGAATTTTCTTCAATTTGTACCAGTAACAAATATAAGTGGAAAATGTTTAGCTCAAGTTTTGCTTGAATGTCTTAGAAATTTAAGAATTAACTTAAATTTATTTAGAAGCCAAGGATATGATGGAGTTACTGCTATGCGATGGCTATTCAATGGAGTGCAAGCAATAATAAAACAATTTTACTCATTAGCATTATTTATACACTGTTGTAGCCATTTATTAAACTTAACTATATCTGATGCATGTGATGTAAAATCAAATTGTAATACTGCTGGAATTATTCAGACACTTGAAGTTTTTTAACACACCTAAAAAGATTTTTTGCAAAATTCTGTTGAACAAATTGCAGTTCAAAAAAAACTAAATTGAAAACTTTATAACCAACAAGGTAGATCAAATGGTATGAAGCAATATTAATATTTTTGGAACTTTTTGGTTCAATTATTGACTCTTTAGAAATTATTTCAACATGGTTTGATAAAGAAACATGTTCAAAAGCAAGCAGTATACTTTTTTCTCTAAAACAAGAAGAAACTCCACACACATTCTTGCAAGAATGTATTATAATTTTTGTGAACGACTTTATGACATAATTTTGAACCATAAGTGATTATTAAAACAATTTACTTGTTTAATAAATGCAAATGAAAAAAAATGAGACCAAATTCAAAGAACCTTTAAAGACATATTCTTCAGATATTGAAGCTGATGAAGTATCTGCAACTAGTGAGTTTACAATATGGTATTAACAGATAAAAAACAAAAAATCCTAAAAATGCTATGGAAGCTTTAATTGACTGCAATGAAGAAATATTTCCTACTGTCCATCGACTTTTACTAATTTTGATTGGAATAATCAACCTTAGAATTTACAGTAAATGGAATTTATATACAAATAAATAATTATAATTGTATACATACTATTGATATACCTATTTCATATAGTAAATAACATAATAAGTAATAGATACTAAACAGAGCATTTTATAAATTCAGTAGTTCTGAAAAGAAGGTATGCTTAGTTCTAAAACTATTAGTTTAAATGAAACTTAATTAAATTATTATGATTTGTATGTTAAATGTATACTCCTATATTTTTTACTAGCATATATGTTTATAATATTATTGTAAAATGATTCAGTTTCTTAAAGTAGATAAATCAAGGACTTTTCAATTTATAGTATTGAAAGAAAACTTAAATGAACTTATGAAATACTATTTCGAGAATAAATTTTAATTCTTTTAAGACAAGAGAAACTTCTTTAATTTGATACATTATTTGATGTATGGTTAAAATAAGAATAAATAATTTATAAGTTTCAGGTAAAATGTCTTTCAATGCAACTTATTCAATCATTTTAACCATTTCATATATGTGTAATAGATTTTAATATTTTATATCACTATATAAAACCTCTAGTTCAACTTTTAATTTATTTATATTATAAAATATATTAGAATAAGTAAAAATTATTTAAAGCATTTTCAGGAAATGTACAAGAATATATTTTAAATTTTAGTTACTTCAGCTAACTGTAAAAAAGTAATTTATTTGTATCTTGAAATCTAGTTTTTAATTGCATTAGAATATTATTAATTATTTCATAAAATATTTTAAAATATGATTGATTGTTAAATTAATTTTTTGTAGCTTTTGGAAGTTTTGTAAGGGTAACCACTTAATTAATTATTTCTTGAGAACAACTAATAATATGCATATCAAACAATTCTCTACAATTACTTTTATTTAATTAATCACTGTTTTCATCATGACTAGAGACGGAACTTGAGGAAGGAAGACGGAGTTTTATCCGCGGACATAAAATTGTAGAGGGTGTAATTTTCGTAGTAAATAATTTATTATTGACTGCTAGTTTGATATTTTTAACTTAGTTACTGATAATATGTTTAAAACTCAACAAGTATGATTGTATGCAAATTATAAGTAACGATTCGAACAGAACACAATTGAGAAATATAAATTAATATTACAATGTACAACGGTTTAACCAGGGCTGTCCCGACTCCCGGCTGTAACAATAACAACTGATAATGTTTCTAAGTGTTTACGCTGAACTGCGGGCTGATCATAATACCATAATAGTATCCATAATAGAATACCGTGTTTATTTTAAATAAATATTAATCGAGTCTCGCGTAATCATAATCTACGCATATCATGCGTAATTCTACTTGTTTTACAGTCGCGTGCATTTGTGTACGTATGCGTGTGTAATTTATATATACAAGTAGAGACGTTGGACAGTGCTTATCGACGTCATCGGAACATTGCCGCCGGCTGAAACACCATGGTTTGTTCACGTAATAATTGTTTCATGCATTTCTTATGGGCTTATTGCTATTTTTTATTATAAACACGAAAAAAATAGGTATACATTATAAGGTTTGGCAAAAAAAAAAAGATATTTTTCTCAAATAATATCATAAAAACGTTAAAAACTATCATCGAAATATGTGCTTCGGTGAGCTCTTGGCTATATACCTTTTCAGTATTTTTTACTTAAAAATTTTAGTTGAGGCGGCGCCTCACCCCCAAAACCGCCACTGTTAGAAACATACACTGAACTATCCTACTTCTCATCTTTTATACGTTATTTATATATTACTCGGTTCTTTGTCCGTCGAGCCATGCCGTTATCAATGTTCGCGTAAATCGACTGTTGACATTTGTATCGGGAAATTATTATTATTGTTTTTTTCTCGTACATTGTTTTTTTTTTTACCGACAGAACAGCGATAAACCGATTTAAAAAAATATATGAACGCATACTATGCGTGGGCGTATTTTTGCGAGTGTACAAAAGTTTATACGGTCCCCTCTGGAATATCGTTGTACTGCAGGAGCGGTCGTCGTGTTTAACTTCGTTAGAGCGTCAACGAACTTCATTCGACCCTAACGTCGTACGGTGTATGAGTATTTTATAACAATGAATAATCCATATACACGTGTTTTATATGCACGCGATGAGGGGACGAATTACGATACGTGGTACAACGTCGCATGTACAGCCGCACACGTGGTACACATTATGCACGTAATATATTCATACATCAATGTACGCGTCGCCGCGCATGCCTTTGGTGTATTTTTCTGCAGTCGTGGAAATAATATCATATTCAATATTGATTTGTTAACGATAATCACGGGATATTCGTTCACTCGGTCTATGCATACGAGTACGTCAAATTAACAAGAGCCCGACGATTTCATAAAAAAATAATAAAACTCGTTTACACGCGCGATAGGTATGAGCAGATGAACACGGCGGTGTAGATACGACGCAGAGAAAATCGAACACCGACTTCTGTGGTCGTAACCGTAATCTATGCGTACATAATTTCAATGGCTTATAAATAATAATGTATAAGGGCAGATGCCCTTTCTCTGAATAATATTTCGGCGATGGATGCGAATTATTGTGGTATTGTGGATTATAAACAAACACGGTTGGTAATAAACTCGTTACCCGGCTTATTTATCTAACAACGTTGTTCATTTAATGCAAATATTGTTAGGATCTAAATCGTGAGTTGATTTCATCTCGTTTCGTGAACACTTGCACTACTTGAATTGTTTGGTTTCGGTGCCGCTACATAGTTTAGATATTATTCGAAATCGTTAAAAGAGGTCCATATTTTTATACAATTCAATATATATAACTATGTTTTCCAAATGCAGTGGTGTATATAAAACGGAAATAATATTTTAGTTTCGCTCCTACTAGTGTAATATTGAACGATAACATCTAACACTGTCAAAATGATTGCAATACGTTCATGTTAGATTTATACGTTATCAATCAAAAATTTGTGTATTTATATAATACATTGGAACCCTGATAAATCGAAAAAATTGCATTTCCCTTGAATTTCGACTTATCGAGACCCACATTTTTAACTGTCAATTGCGATCGGTGTTCGTTATTATCGTAATGACAACGCCGATTTAAAGATTATTACGATGTTTTAACGGCACGCCCGTCGTCGTGTGTTGCAGAGCGATTGGCCCATGCACTGCCGGTTCCCGCTGTTCAACCAGGACCTGCAGCCGGAACCGGTGAACCTGCACAGCAACAGCAGCGGCAGCCATCACCGCCGGCCGGAGCCGAGCCGGGCGTTGGACATCGCGGTGGAGAGGGCGCACGACCGACTGCGGCCCGTCAACCCGTTGCACCACCAGGACGACCGGGAGCACAACAGGCACCACGCTTAGCTGACCGCCGGTCTGCTGCTGTTGCTGTCCGCAACGTTCGACCGTGGACCGTGAAATAACGTTTTTAACATTACGATACATACGCGTGTGTGTGTGTGTGTGTGTGTGTGTGTGTACGTTATACATATTTACGTTTATGTGTGTGTAAGTAGTGGTAATAGTAGTAGTAGTAGTAGTAGTAGTAGTAGTAGTAGATGTAATGACGACGACGGCAGCCCCTCCGAAATGGGGTGGACGAGGCGAAATCTAGAAGAAGAAAAAAATTCACCGACCCGATTCTCACCTGGCCGACGCGCGTTCCGACCTCAAAACACCTGTTGTCGAGCGCACCATACACAACGTCGGATCGCGTGTTCGTCGCCGCAACGTTTCGGCGGTACAGCGATTTCGGTTCGTGAAACTGGTTTCGTAAATATTCATGTCCGGAGATCGTTCGGCGACGAGACGATTTTTTTTCGCATCGTACCATTATTGCGGTGCTGTTGCCGTTTCGTCGCTAATGTACATAAGTAAAATTTAAATTTAAATAATAATAGCGAAACGCGTGTGTAAACGTGCCGTTTGCAATAATGCCTACGTCCCGGTACGAATATTTTCTACGAAAGCCGTCTCGCGCACGCCCCCCTTCGCATTGGCTCGCGATTCTCTATAGGAAACAAATTGCGCAGAACACACAAATACGTTTAACACGATAATAATAATAATAATATCAAAAACGCTATTACGATGTATATAAGTAGTGCTTAATATAATTTATTGTGTGCTACGTGATGTTATTACAGACGATAATTATACGCGTTGCGTTTTCCAACGATCCCGCGCATACATTATTGCAGAAATACCTTTATAATATTTTGATAATGTTACACACCGATTTGTATTACGCGCTGACCTGTACGTAATATCCTACGGCCGTATAACGCTGATGAATATTATTACCGCGATCATTATTGTTGTTGATGTTTTTGTTATTATTATTACCATTATTACTCCGCTTGTGTAGCTGTGAAAATAATATTTTGTAGCACTCCTATAGGATAACGTTCTTATTTATACGTAACATGTAAGGATTAAAGCATTTTTCATTTTTCGGCGTCCGTCCGATCGTCGAAACCTCTTCGTACATCCGTATGTACCTGTTACGCGCTACGCACCGCTGTACGACTCTTGTCCTGGACCTGAGTAGGATTTCAAGTGACTGCAACTCGTCGGTGTGTAAACTACAGTTGTACATATGAAAATTGAAACGCATTGTTTATACGTAAATCTTCGTACATACGAAAAACAAAAAAACAAAAAAACAAAAAAAACAACATAAATTAAAATAAATATCGACACGATATTTATATATACGTTGCGTACATGCGCGCCAACGCAAAGTGCTGTTTAAGAGTTCACGTTTCGACCGTAATCGTCGAAAATCAGTGTAATAATAATAATAATAATAATAATAATAATACGTCGCTTTGCATATTTTTTTTTGACCAATTTGCTGCTTGGTCAAAATCAAATTTCGCGTAAACGCATCGGCAACTCGACATCCAAGGGAGATTGCAAATTAATTCGTCTCAACATATTTTTCGAACTACATGATTCGAAATTCGTTTTAAATGCAAACAAATCTGAGTAAGCTATTACTATGTATTTATTAAGTAAAATGTTAGAATTGAAATGTTTACATTAAAAAACACGTTTTATATCCATTAACTACAATTCGATTAAGTTATAATACCCATGAGTGTAATCGTTACAATATGGGAAAATTACTTGAAATAAAGTCTTCTGTTCGTCATAATTACCTAAAAAGTATCTCACCTTCAACTTTTTCAATTAACGTTTTTACATACCGAAATTCGAGTTATCAATACTCGAATTCATAACACATAATGATAGTATACCGATTCGAGATATTTGGGGATTTCCCGGAATCTTATAATTTTTTTTTTGTTACACCCACACTAGGGTGGTCCTTAGCTATAGAGGTCAATTTTTTTTTCTTATATTTAATTACGATGATTCCTAAATTTTGTTCTTCGGTATATTATTATTTATGTTATAAATATGTATTATATTATAGTTTGAGCGCGATACTTCAACCCCTTTTTTGTGCCCCAAAAGGGTTAAAGTTCAATAAAAGGGGTGAATTTTGAATTTTTTGAATATACTTATTTTATTTTTACAGTTATGCAAAATTCATAGGAATCTTTACTGTAGCAATTAATATTTTCTAAAAAAAACTATTATGATGAATTGTTGTAAAGTAAGTGGTTTTTCGTAAAATTAAAAAAAACCCACCAAAAATTTTTTTAAGAAAATTTTTCATATTTTAGGTTCTTACCTGTATTTTTTAAAAATATAAAACCACATACATAATTTAAATAAATACCATTATGACACATAATTTTTCTTTTATAAAGGGTTTTTAAATTTATAATTATTGGTATAATATACATTAACTTTATACTATATTTAATATTAGTTGAAAATAAAAGTCAAGAACCATTTCTATAAATTGTTACAAAGTTTTTTTGTTATAGTTTGGGTATTTTTTTCTAGAATCTTTAATTGTCTAAAAAATAACATAATTATAAATACATTTTTTTATTGAATGCTTATTAAAGATTTTTAAAAACAGAATATAAGTAATAGGTAGCTATAGCACAAATTGTTTTTGATGTTCGTTTTTAGTCAATTTGTCGTTAAATTCTTCCATTAATTTAATCCCTCTTTCGGCTGTATCATTTACTAGTACAACACAGCAAAGATTATCAGTTTTTAATTTTTACAAACCTAGGGTAATTTTACATTGTGTATTGTATATTTTTTAGATCATAATAAAAATTATGTAAACAAATAAATATAAATTATATAAATTCAATATATCTGAAAGTTATCGCTCTTTATTTTGGGCTGCTTTTTCGATTCTTATAATTTTATTTCTTTCAGCTTTTATTTATTTCATTTCAATTCCTAACGTACAGCCGAAACGTTCTTTTTTTTTCTGAGCAATTAAAAATGCTGCGTTTTCTTTATTTTAATTAAATTTAATACGTTAGCTGCAGCGATATCAAAAAAATCATTTAAATCCTCATTAAATGTGGTTTCCCTATTTTTGTATAATTCACTTGTTTGAGTATTATGTTTTTCTAAACTGCGTAAATCTTCGTATAATTGCTTACATTTTATGATAAAGTTTGAACGATACGTGCTTTTCTCCAAAATATCAAACATTCATCAATAACAAGAGGTGCACTTTCATATAAACTCAAATTAATTATTCACATGTTATAGAAAAAACGTTAAAAACAATCTCTCTTAGGGGGCAATTTTCTACCAGTTATTTGATTTTTCATCGGACCGACTAGAAATATTGGTTTTCGTAACATACTTTATTAAAATGATTAAAAACACTAAACACTTAACATTTAAAAAGAATAAAAGTAAAAAAAAAACTAAAAGTTGAACAATTTTCCTCATACTTAACTTTGAATGATTATTCTTGATTTTACGAAAAACCACCAACTTTATTACAATGTACCAATATACCTTCTTTTTAGAAAACATTAATTGCCACAGTAAATATTCTAATAATTTTTGCATAACTTTAAAAATTAAGTGAATATATTAAAAAAACTAAAATTTCGCACTTTTTCATAAAACTTTAGTCTCTTTTGGACACGTGAAGGAGTTGACTTATCATGCTCAAACTTTACCACAAATATTTTTTCAGTAGATAGAATAAAATTAAGGGGTCATCGCAACAATATTCTTAAGTAAAAAAATAAAGACCACCCTAACTTACACCGTAACCGTCTAGTATCCGAACAATATTATAAGACTATATACAACGCGAATTTCAAAATAGCCGTAGTGTACACTATTATTTTTATTATTATTATTATTATTAAAATTATATTACTAGCGCGTTTTGAGTGTTTTCAATTGTTCGAATGGAGTAAAAGCAACATGAATATCTTCACGTGTCATGTTTATGTTTTTTTTTTATTTATTATTATTATTATTATTATTATTATTTTTTTTTTTTGTTATATCAACTTATTATTTTAAGTTTAAAACGATTATTATGCGATGTTATTATATTTTTATTATTCATTATTATTATAATTTTTTTTTCATTGAACATTTGTTAAAAAAAAAAAAAAAAAAAAAAAAAAAAAACTACTTACTTACTTTTATGTGCGATCTATGTATGCGAAACCATAGTTTTTAATCGTAACGAGTAACACGTTTTTATAGTATTTTTAACATAATTTTAAAACGACCAAGTTTTTAACTATTTAAAATTTTAATCCTAACTATATCTCGGTATAATCGCTGTTACCACTACTGTTAATCTAATTCTAAGAATACTCTGAGTAATAATAATTCGTCACTTACAACGGTTTGAACAGATATTAAATAAATCTCGACATTGTCTTACGCCATAAAAAGTAATAGCTCGGGGTACATTGAATATATTATAACAATATAACAGTTGCATTATACATTACTTTTTTTATTAAAAATATTGCGATACAGACATATTATATAAATCCTTCATCCAATTCGATTCCAATCAATTTGTGGTTGTTGTAATAACTACAATAAATTATTACTATAATAACTATAATTAATTATTACTAAACTAGTTAAGATATTTGGAGTTATTTATTATTCTATTTTTCATTATTATAATATTAATTATATATATATATATATATATACTATAAGTACTTAAATACTTATCGATTATAATCATTAGCTTTTTTTGCCCATGTTTAAGCCAATGAGTCATTTGATTAAAAATAATAATAATTATCTACCTATTATTAATAATCACTACATTTTTAATTTAAAAAATTGTTTTAAAATTTAAGTAAACATAAGTGTGTATTCTTTAAAATAAAAAATATAACATTATATAATACATTAATACCAACATATATTATTATAATACAATACACGACCTATATCATATTATATTATGTACATGTATATTATTATTATCGTATTATCTAAAGAGTATGTGTTAAATAGTTGTTGTTATATTTGTTTTTAAATATAACAAAATATTATATTAAATACAATATCGTTAGTCGTTATCATCCTATATCCACAGAGCTGCTGTTGAAAAAACTTACAGGAAAAATGTGGAAATTGTCATCTTGTTCATCATCGTACATACAAATGAAAATCCGTTGAACAGTAAGTAAATATTCAAATAAATTTCCATAGTACATTGTGGTAATGATTTTATTTACCTATTTATTGACCCTCATTTTCTAAAAGCTTGCATTACTTAGTAGATGCCAAAAAAAAAAAAGAAAAACTAAAATAACTTTGTATCGTAAAATATTCACACGTTAGTTAACGTTTTAAAAATAAATAATGAACAACTACTTGTATAAATTATATAATTTAATTTTAATGGATTGCGTTATAATCCATTTATATTCGGACTTTTGGCACGTTAAAACTACTTTAATCCCACTGTGTCTTAGGAACCTGTACCTTATGCGATCCTACGTGGTATAATCGTTTTGAACTCATAACTTGTGCATGTTTGTTACACTTTAATAATGAATATCAACAACACAACGGTAGTATTATGTTACGATTTTAATCAAGACATATTACGGTGCATTTAATTTTGAAAGTTATGCTTACGAAATTAACATAGGTATTTTAGAGATTTAAGAATTTTTCCAGTTAATATTAATAGAAAACGGGTAAGATCAAAACTTAACCGACAGAAGTGTCGGCCTCGGAGTAGCCATAGTACAGTAAGATAATCAAACTACATCCTGTGACAAAAATGTGGTTAGAGATGAGAGAATCACTGTGTAGACTGAAAGTAGGTATAAACATAGGGAAAACGAAACGCGCTGAAATCAATGAAGCAAGAAATATTTTTCGGTCCGCGTGTAATACATATACTAATTCCGCAGAAAACCGTTTTTTCCAATTTGGTACGAACTGGTGATGGAGGATATAGTGGGTGGATTGCTTTTGATAATATCGCCTCTCCTTGGCTGACTACTAAATCAACTCTCTCTATAACGCCGTATAAAAGTATAAAAAGTTGTTCGCGTCGTACTTTTTCATGTATAAAGTCAACGATACGAGTATTTGCGATAAGCCATTTCTCGTTTCGCAGTAACAATTATTAATTTATTTTCATGTGCAATCACGTGAACTGTTTGTTGAACTGCCACACTCCCCTCGATCAAAGGTGTACGTACCTACAGCCGTGCCACAGACTATCTACATGGTATATAATTTATATTTATATATATATTTGTACATAAATGTGATTTATATACGGAAAAGTCGAGACTTGAAAGCCGATGTGATTATAATGTCGACGGTCTGCAATCGCTTCTGTCCGGGACTAGGAAGGAGTGGAAAGAGAGCCAACAGCAAAGAAAACTCGGCTCGCGTTCAAGTATGACGTTGTAACGTATATGAGTGATACCGTGATTTAAGTATTGACTTCACGTACACAATACGTATATGCATAGGCGTGCGCAGACTTTGTCCGCAGGGGGGGCCCTTAAAAAAGTGAACTAAAGATTCTTGTACCAAAGACTACTAGTATAATTAAATATTTTAAATTTTATAAATCATGTACTTAATTCAATAAGCAAATATAAAAATAAATACTATTTAAACTTACACAATTTATATCTAAGAAATCCTTATTTACATATTATTATACTATTTACAACTCCATCCTTTTGTCCACGGGAGTAAGGTTTTTGAATGTATCAATTACATCTTCAATTTTAATATTATATGCAAGTTCTGATTAGTCTGATTAATAACTAATAACTTTATTACATTTATTCACAGATATCAATTCTATACTATAAGATTAAAACGGGCTTCACTTTATTCATAAAAATGTAAAAATGTTCGCTATCTTGTATAGTATAGATATACATTTATTGAAGAAAAAGCCAGAGTCCGCAGGAGGGGGCCGCGGCCCACCTGGCCACCCCCGTGCGCACGCCTATGCGTATATGTGTACAGTATAATTATCGATAGAGTGTGCATTGGCGTATTTTTTTATTTTTTTTTTTATGGGGGAGCACCTTGTGCATTAGCCAAAACCTAGAGTTTAGCTATTCCAAAGCAGGCACATCATCAAAATATAAATACGTATTTTATATAGCCATTGACACGCTATAAATAAACAAAATTAACATTTAATAAGATGTTAACTGCCTTACTCTAGAAAAAACTGATTTTACGCTTCCGTGCATACTCTAGTTCTCTGCATGGTCCGGTCTCAACAACAATAAGAGGTGGAGGATTGGTTCGGTTCGACTCCATATTTTTAAGAAATATTTCGGTTCGGTTCTGGTTTAAACTCATCTGATCTCAGTTCGGCCCGGTTTCTAAAATATAATCAGATTAAGACGGTTCCAGTTTGGTGGTTAAGGCTTGTTTAAAATCCATCGAACAATGGTTTTACATTTTAAAGACATTATTCATAGAATTTATAACACGTACTCGTGTATTATCATGGGAATCAATATTTTACCCCTGCGCCATCGTTGCATCTACTTTGCAGGTATATATCCCAGAGCTGTTCATGGTACTTATTAACAATTAATATTGAAAATATTTTCAAGAGCAGCAGTTGCAATTATTATCGTTATGGTATGGGTGGCACGGAAGGGCTTATATACAGCTGTCACGTCTCGACATCCGATTAAATTTGTATTTATATGCAATACAGTATGTACTTTTCTATGTATTACATATTATAGGTTTGTACATTTTTGAAATAATCTATTTTTAAAATGCAATTTAAAATCCATAGGTCCAACTATGAGATAAAATTCAAAACGTTCACAGTCCGAAATTTTTTTAGTTTGAATCGTTTGTCCGCTCTATCAAATTATAGATTTTCAGTTCGGTCAGATCCCTAAAATTACGGACCGTGCAGAGTATTAGTATACACATTTTTGAACATTGTAAACAAAACAAATCAACGTGCGACAATTAAAGCACGATTCACACTGTTATGGTACGGCACAACAAACTGCTAATATATTTTAACTTAATAAGCATACACCTTTATCCATCGTCAAACAATGCCATTCACTAGCATTTTGAATAAATATCGGTTCTCATAGGCAGCTATTCGTTCAGATTTAGTATTAATAGCGGTAAAAAATCGTTGGAAAATTAAATGGAATAAAATAGAAACAAATATCCGTCATACTGCTGTTATATTACTCCCATATTGTGAAGAATATTTTCCTAACATAAAAATCCTCTTAAAATTATTTGCTACGCTTTCAGTATCCATAGCAACCGCTGAAAAGTCATTTTCTACCTTAAGGAGATTAAAAAATTATAAGCGCTCTGCAAAGACTGAATCTAAACAAAACGATTTAGCTCTATTAAATGTTTATAAAGATAAATATATTGATATTGACATAGTTGTTGATCAATTTGCTAGAAAAAAGAAAAGAAGAAAGCAATTAGAGGACTGGTCGATATAACTTTAAAAGGTTTAATTTACATACATTGTATGAGCTATTATATTCCTTAGTTCTGTGATAAATCTAAAAAACTTTAACATTGCTAGACTGATTTTCCTCACTGTTCAAGTACTAAATTATTAATTTTATTTGCTCTCAAAATTTATACATAATAAGCGTTTTAGGACTATTATTAACAAAATAGCACTCGCCATAAAAAAAATCCAAGATCCACCACTGGCCTGACGGTTCTTACGTGTTTACGTGAATTGGAATTATTAATTCACTTCGTGTAGGTATAATACTTGTACTAATTGCTATAGAAGTCAACTGCCTTTACGTCGACGATGATTATTTTTTCCGTAAAAAATGGGTTCTCTAAAATTCCATCACCCGTTATTGGAATAGTTGAGTCCACTACATGAAATTCGGTTTCATATGTTTCGTCACCTAATGCTACTGTTAGTACCGTGCTTCCCTGCGTACTCATTATGGCTTGCATATTATAAATTTTCTCTTTGTAGGTATTAGGACTTTTGAGGTAAAATAATGATTGTAAGCTGTTGCTTGTCTACCGTAATTTCCAACCCTTCCAATCTATCCAACATCTGTCCCATGAACTGATTTATCAAATCTTTCTCAAAGTCAACATCGTCTTTGTTCGTAGCCTCTTAAGATGGTATCTCCTTTACTAAAATATATTTAATATTAATGCATGTTATAAGAGTAGAAATAAAAACCTGTTCAAAGAATTGTATTATATATTTTGTATAAATATAATATATGTATGTATACATTTTAGAGTATGTGTTGACAATTTTTAAACATCGGGTATTTATTTATAATTATTTTAACTTTTTTTTCTATCTATTATATAATATAGTTCCACGAATATTATTTAAAATAATTTTAATTTATATTTTTATTTATTTATTTTACTGGGGAGGGGGAGGAGGCAACCATTCGTAGGCGTATAATATATAACATATTATTTTTATTGTAATTATTGTGAAATGAATATCCATAATCTGTTATGACGTTCCGTACACGTCAAACTAAAAATTGGAGTGCGTATATCCTCCTACCAGCACTACATCAGCAAATAGGGTGATGAAATCTACAGATTTTGATACTCCTTTGAGATACCATGCAAAGATCAGTTATTTTGAAAAAAAAATATAGGATTAATTAACACGTTTTCTACTAGACTATGTTCTATGAAATAAGTACGCGATTCTAAACCACTCTCTGACACTATCAATTTCATTAATTCTACTTTTAATTTGTATTTTTGTCGAATATTACCGTTGAAAATAATGTTAACACGTTTTGTTCCACAAAACGATCGTTGAAATACGGTTCAAGTTAATTATTGGTAAATAAACTTTTCGTGAGCCGAATTTGAATAATAAATGCATATGCACACTAATAATGTGTGTATGCCGACTCATCAACACACAAGGTGAATATTCGGTAAAATGTGTAAAATTTCCAAATAATATGCTCGAAATTATTCGAAATACACATATTTGGCGAAAACCGTTCAGACAAGGAAAAAATCGCATCCCCAATTTCAACGAGGTTCGTGGTATGTAGTAATCGTTTTGTATCCTGGTTATCTTGGTCCGCTATAAAATAGAGAAGTGAAAAAAAAATACTACGCGCGTGGTAAACTAACACGATATTATTACCGTCAATGATTTCCTATGATCACCGTTTACCGGTAATTGCGGTCAAGCTGTTCGTGAAAATCGCCGTTTCAAGGGTGTCATCCACGGATTGATCATACGTCAGTTCGGTACGATCATTGTAACGTATATGGCACAACTACTGTTATATCGATGAATTCGAGTTTGATTTCGCGTAATATCTACCGTATAACGGGTTTTGCCAAAGGACACGTCATAAAGCATAAAGAACAGCTTCCCTCCACACACACATACACACAGAGATTTGATATATTTCATTATAATTGTACTATACTACTATTATACGTTTGTGCTTGTTAACGATTGCTTTAGTCAAAAATTTAAATGTAATAATGTTCTTAGTATTCGTTGACTATCTGATAGAACATTTTACCATAAACTTGGTGAATTAGGTCAATGTTGATATTTTTGGTTATGTAATTAGAAGGAAAACCATATAAGTGCCGTTCTACCACTTTTTCGTAAACGAATAACTTTGAACACGTTTATTTTTATTAATCAAAATTTATCAAATGGTTAATACTCTTAAATGAATGTATAAATAAATAACTTATAAATATAAATTAATTAATTAACGAATGCTTATCTAACTTACTAAAAACTAACTTGGAATATTATAATATGTGTAATGTGCGACCGGTTTGGAATTATGTGGAATTAATCATCAGGTGTATACAAAGTTAATCAATATTTATTATAATTAATAAATATTATTCTCAATTTATTCCTTCTTTTATTTTTTCTTATTCAGTCGCGATTTTATCGACTTTGTATAATGATGAATTTTTAACTCAAAACCGGTCGTACATTACACATACTATAATACTTCAGGCTACGAATTTATTAATTAAATAATTTATTTCTATATACAAATTATTTATACTCGTATATACATTTATTTTTTTGATTATTGGACAGATTTTTCTCGTTTTTTTATTTTTAATTTTTTAAATTTACGGGCTAATGCCCTTTTACAAATGTAATTTATACAAAATTGTGTACATGAGTCAATATTACCATTCTAATCAGGTAATAAGGTATTTTTTTAATTCAGCAGCCTCGGCCAATGGTAGTTGTAACTTCGGTTAGTAGTGCTATTCAGGGCTGCACCTAGGAGGGTGCGAGAGGTGCGTGTGCACCGAGAGCCATGACCACTGGGGCGCCAACAGTTTTTTCACAATCAAAGTAATATTACTGAAAGTTACCATATTATTAAATTTGTAATATTTAATACGTTCAACGCCATGGTCTCGATAATAACAAAAATAAAAAATTATTTACATTAAGCTCAGATATAAGTGATATATATTAACAATTTACAACAGATCTTATTTAACATTAACGATAATAAAAATTCTGAAAAATCTTATTAGACTCTAATAAGAGTAGAAAAATATACATTTTTCCATTGGGATTGTTTTTAAGCACTAAAATTTTAAATTTATGGTAAATTATGTATAGTTTGTTTTTATTTTTCATACGAATCACATATGATAAATATAATAAAAAAAAAGTATTATTTTTAATGTTCAATAACGGTATGAAAACTAAAAATAATTACTGCAGCTGAAAGTGTAACTATAAAATAATACAATGTGGACAGGTTAATCAAAATACTTTATGAATCTCAATAAAAGTTATTTCAAAATTTTGATTAGCTTTTGAATTTCTTCTCATATCCAATAATATTTAATATGAATCTGATTTAATAATATAATCGATTAAAGAATAATTTTAATAATAATTGTATTCTATAATCAATGATAATATGTACCTATTTATATTAATATAGATTTAAAGTCACTTTTCATGACAATGGTAATGTAATTTATGGGTGACATGGCTATTTTTACTCAATAGTCTTAAGACGGTTGACTACTTTTTCCGAAACCAGCGGGACCCCAATTATTAATTAATACCGTGATAAATATTATGCTTTCAACTAAAAATTCTTCGAAATATTTTTTTTATATTTTTCTAAATCCCATAAACTTGAATATAATATTTTACAAAAATATTTTTATGGTCTATATATATATATATATCAAAATTAATTTAATTGGTATAGAAGAAAAAATAATAAGTTAATTTCAAGCTAATCTGTAAGGAAATGAATTAAGTTAATAAGTTAAATTAACTTAACTTTTAACTTATTAACTCTTTAATGTCCAGGCTTGTACTTTACCATTCTTTACCTATAATGTGTTAGTAGTTAGGGGTGGCATATTAAAACAGTAACAATTTAAAATATCTAATGAATATAATATAATATATTATATGACATGGAGTCGTATAACACATAATTTACATTATTTACATAATTAAAGTTGATGATATATGTTATAAAATCGTATATGTACTCAGATATTGCAATATAAAAGAAAATTTAGTGCTTACCTGTCTAAAATAAAAAACCTAGTTTTTCTTATCATCATTAATTTTTATGACGTCTTCTAAATGCATAATACTTTTTACGCCCAAGGGCACGTGCCCCATTTGCCTCACCCTTGGGACAGCTATGCTTCCTATCTACAAATCTGTCTTTGAAATTTTTTTATATGCTGACAAAAATATTAAACGTACAAAAAAGATGATAAATCCAACGAACTCCCTTCCCTATCCTTATGTAGGTAGTCTCCTAATAGCCCACAGGTATAAAAATAATTGGTAGGGGGGGGCGCTAAAAATTATCTTTGGCACCGGGTGCTAATTATGCACGTTACTAGTGCTAGTGTATGACATAAGTTTAAGGCGCTTTTTTGACCGGGTCTGTTGAACACCGTCTTACGTATAATCAAGCGAGTATCAGTATTGTACAAAAAGCAACGCCACTGCTGCACTGCAAATTGACGAACAAATAGTACGTTTCAGAGCAGTGGTGAGCAACTTGGGGTCGTGAAATTTTATTAGAGAGTCGCTAATAATTTTACACAAAAAAAAAAAAGTTATATACTGTATATTATTTTATAATTTTATACAAAATAAAAGAATTTTGTACCGTCGATGGCTGTTTCAATCGTAATATTAGGTCATATCTTAATGTTGCGATAACAAGTTCTATTGAATCACGCAGTTATTTTTAAATTTAATTTAATCAGTAATTTTATTTAATCTCACGGTTATTATGTAATATTCCGATAGTCATGTACGAGCTGTTGAGTTAATCCTATTAATGCTTATAATTTTATACAGTTAGTAATAATTATTTGTATTTTGTATTATTTTAAACTAATATTTTTAATATTTTAATATTTTATAATATATAAACTAAAACATCGATATGGATAAATTTTTAATTAAACGACCGATGAAGTGATGATGAAAGTGTTATAGAAACCAAAGTTCGTAAGGTATCAGAAATGTCGTCAGATGTAAAAACCAGTCGAGAATATTTGAACTAAAAATTTAATAAAAAGGACCGAAAATACCAAGACAGTTATATCAAGTTTGGATTCACTTTCGATGTTGAAAAAGGTGAGCCGAAATGTGTTATTTGCTTAGAATGATTAGCTTCAGAAAGTATAAAGCCATCAAAGCTAAAACGACATTTAGTAACTTAACATCCCCAATTCCAACATAAAGAGGAAGACTTTTTTAAAAGGTATGAAAATTCAATTAAAATTTCAAAAAAATACTATGCGTAATTTTACTTCAGTACCTACAAAATAAGTGTAATACATTTTATAAAATCAAAGTCATTAAATTCCAGACTTTTTACTATACTTTGCAATGAAATGGGTTCTGATCATGAAAAATGAATACTTCATACCAAAGTATAGTGGTGTCTCGTGGTAAAATATTATCACGCCTTCTTGAACTCAGAGTTGAAGCACGAATTTTTCTTCTGAAACGTAATAATAAACTTTCGGAACATTTTTTAGACGAGAAATGGCTCGCAATTCTGGGTTATCTTGCAGATATATTTGAAAAACTAAATTGTCTAAATTTAAGCCTACAAGAGAAAAATACTAATATTCTATTTCTATCTGAGAAAATCAATGCTTATAAAAAGATAAATTCTTCTGTGGAAAAATGATATTGACGATGACAAATTTGAAATGTTTTCATGTTTATCAGAATTCCTCAGTGATAATGATATGGATATTAATATGATAAAAGAAATTATAACTGCTCATCCAATAAGTTTACAAACTTTAATGCACGGTTTGATGATTTCCCAGAAGAAAGTCTAAGTTGGATAAGAAATCCATTTCATTTTAATATCAATGAAATAAAATTAGGAAATTTAAAAATAAACGAAGAACTTGTTGAATTGTCATCAGATGAAAATCTACGTGTTAGATTTCAGGAAAATACATGTGATACATTTTGGATTTCCATCATATCTGAATATCCAGAATTATCAAACCAAGCCATATCAATTTTATTACCTTTTGCATCAACATATTTATGCGAAATAGCATTTTCAACACCAACGATAATTAAAAACAATTATCGCACCAGATTTAATGTTGAAGCTGATTTAAGAATAGCAGTGTCAAATATCAAACCAAACATAGAATCAATCATGTCTACAATGCAAGCTCAAGTTTCTCATTAAAATAATTAAATAGTAATTTTATAATTTTAAAAACATTACAACTTTGATTTTTATTATAATAATACATTTTTTAATTTTTATAAAACCTTAATTTTGTTTTTTTTTTCTTTTCATTTTTTTTTGATTAATTACATTTAAGAAATATTAAAATTGCCTAAAATTAATTATTTAATGTATATAAATAAAATGTTTGTATACATTAGGACTATTAAGTAAATTTATATTATACACTAACATAATGTTGGTAGGAAGTGGGGTCGTATTATCAAAATAAATCATTTTGGGGGATCGTGGATAAAAAAAGGTTGCGCACCACTGTTTTAGAGCCATACAATTTTTGCCGGCTTCAGTGTTTCTGCCCGACGTTACGTTATAATATTACTGCGACGGCGACGTACGAGCCGTTAAAACAATAATAATCGTAAAAATGAAACGCACGTAACAATAATAATTGATACGCGCGTGTACTTTTTCCTTTCGAAAAATAATTACAGCACCGAAAACGTAACGTTACAACGCTCCGCGGGCCGACTGCGCACCGCAGACCGCGTTCATTGTTGTTGTTATTACCATTGTCATTCGACCGAATGCCGGACGCAATCGTACGCAGTTATACGTTACATAATGTACGCCGATGGATTTATTGCGACTTTTACGGCCCCGCGTACACTTTGTTATCGCGTCGTTCGCTCACGGAACAACTGGTTCCCACAAATGCAGTACAATGGCCATTCGTAAGTCTACCGACGGACGCGCCGTCGACGGCACATAACTTTGTGTCGCTGCTGCGTAACAGTAACGTGCATAATGTCCGCTGTATTGTGTGGTAACGTAAGTGCCTCGCGTGAACGCATCGGATGAAGAAAAAAAAAAAAAAAAATCCCCCTAGGGGTGTTGAACGGACATAATACGATCACGTTTGAATCTTTCGTGCATTCGTATTTTTCGTTTATCGCACCGTATTTTATGTAGGTGCATCTACTGTCGTCGGTGTACACTCGAGTAGCCGAGGAAATAAAAGTCTCCGGATAGCATACAAAAAAAAAAAAAAAAAACTAAACGAATAATAAATAAAGCCCAGAGAAAAAAAGAGCGTAGCCGGAATTTTTTACTCTCCTCTCCGTCACTTAAAAAAAAAAAGACCTCGTGCCGTAGCCCCTTAGGGTTGACGCTTGATCGTAAAAATAATTAGGAAACTCAATCCCCCACCCACTATTCGAACACTGTGTAAAATCATAAGTTCGGTGAACAACAGATTCGAATCTCTTAAAAAAAAAATGCGCTTGTAAACGCGATAAAAAATTATAACACATAATATTTTTAAACCGACTATTTTTCAAGCAATTCAAACAGCATTGCGGGTGTACGATCATCATCGCGAAACCCCAAAATAGGTAAAAATTGACGTTAATCGCTTCACGACCCCTTTATGATTAAAACTAATTTAATCTGATTGTTTAACCAGCTACAAAATATATTCCATCATTAACCATTAACGATACGAATAATTGGCACATGAAAATATTTCGAGTGTTATCTTGAAATACAATAGAAATAGAAAATAATTCATTTTTATGCGTTTCAAATGTCAACCCACGAATAAACAAACTTTTGGTTATAAAACAACCATAAATAAGCATAACAATAGTTATTGCTTAATGCTGTTGAATTTTTCTAATTTTATGTATACAATTTTTAATTTTTCGTACGTACTTAAGGGTTTTGGTATATCTATCCGATGCAGTGGCGTACGCAGAATTCGTTTATGGGGGTTACCATTTATATATATATATATATATATATATATATAAGTATTTATACAATTGTATTATTTTTCTATTAAAGGTCATAGCATAATTAAATTTAAAAAAATGTATATTTTATAGTTTAACCTTACAATTTGATATTAATTCGTTTTGATGCTTTTGATAATTCATCGAGTACAGCGTCTGTTGATATTTCAATATCCAGAGGAATATTTAGCATTGATAGTAAATAGAAATTATAATCGTAATTTTTGTCTGGATTATTATTTTTACAGATAAACCAGATATAATAGAAGTAAAATAACAGCTTAGTTTGAATGATAAATTTTCAGTGTATTTAACTAATTTCAAAACATTATTCGAACTCTTAAACAATCCTCCACTATTTTTACATCAGTTGATATGAAATAAAAATATTTGTGACAATAGTTAAGTTCACTTGATTGTCTTATAAGATTGTCTACACATGTTGTACAATCATTTTAAGTAATTTCCTAATTTCCTTACAAAATATAACCAGTAATATAATAAAGAATATTATCCTTAATATTACTGAGTTGGTCAATCTCGTTAAAAAAAAATAACATTGGAACATCCGTGAGCCACACAAAAGATACCGGTGTACGGGCCCTGAACATAAGAATAATAATAATACCTGCACACCAGTCACCAAATGCTTCTTACATCTGCACACCGACCGATCTGTGTATTTTGTGTGTAATGTAGCTCGACCAGAATTGGTTGAGTTCGCTGTGCAAATACTAGTGAGCTATGTGGTGTAGTGGTGTGTGACGTGTGTCCGTGTCTGTGTATATGTGCTCAAAACTACAAGAAAAATAGGGATTAAAAAATATAGTAATTCAACATAGTGTAAAAATGTTGTCGTGTATTGTTTGGCAGTTTTTGCCCTTTTGGACAAACAATTAAATTATAATAAATATATGAATGATTTACAGCAACATAAAAGTATAAATAAAATAAACAATTAATAAATAAAATGTATAAAACTCACAATTTGGTGGAGCGCAGGTTGGCCAGCTGCAACTAACTAAAATGCTGTAATAACATATAACACACGGACAGATAATATAAACTTAAATAATAAATATAAGCCTTTACGGCAATTTGCGCTCGTAAACAGACAACAAAATGAAATGATTACATACAAATAATAATAAAAATGGCGATTTTCGCTCACAAAACAATACAAAATTAACAAGGTGGCGATTGGCGCGCACACGAATTATAATTACTCAGTAATAAAAAGATTGAGCACTAATAACATTTAATAATATTACTTGCTGTAAAAACTATAGACGACGGTAATAAAAGATGATAATACGACGAACAATTGCGACATTGAATATATATATATTGGCACACGCGTATAGAAAATAGGAATTAATAGCTGCGATATGTTGACTAACGCCCACACATAAAATATAAAAGTATAATATATTAAAAATAGTTATTAAAAAAAAAAAAAAATCAGCAGTTCGTGAGTATAAATGAAATATTATTTGAACGGCCTTCTTGGATTTGACGCGACGACGTACGGCAGAAGACAAAATACGGTCTGTGGCTAAACTGCATTCGGACCTCAACAACTAGCATTGTTTTATAGTTATACAATTTAATAATACAATTACAAAAATATTTAATAAAATTAGTATTAAATATGTAAATAATAATATAGCAAAACGTACAAAGCTGAAAATATATCAAACAAAATGTAGCGAAAAACAATTTATCGCGACAATCGAGAATATGGCGTCACTGTTTTTAAAGCTTCACGCGATAACAACAATACCTTATCTGGTTTGCATAGAAGTCTGTGCTAGAAATGAACAGGTTGAAGGGAGTGACGGAATGTACTAACCTTGAAAGTATATAAAATTGGCTGGTTACGGGGGAGGGTTCATTTTGGCAGAACGAATGCCACATGGTTTATTATAAAGACAACTTCTTTGAAATGTTTCCACCTTTCGTTGTATACAAATAATATATAGTACAATAGTGTACTATATATTACTAAGAAATCGGATATTTAGATGAACATAAGCCTGAACCTGATCCTATTAATTAAATATCAAGAAGTCACCTTATACATTCTAATCAAAACTTCTTCGAGCCAATAACCACGACAGAAGAAGGTTTTGTCAAATATGCAAATGATTCAGATGTTTTCAATAATACAATTGAATTTGTCCTTAAGGAATATCATGAAGTAACCCGAAATTTCCTTATAGTGATCATCAAACTGATACCATGAGAAACATATTTCAGTATTATTTATTACATCATAATTCGAATGAAAAAATTTACTTTGTCACACAATAGAACCATGAAACAACAAAGTGTCGAGGAAAAACAATTGTCAAAATTAATAACAATATGAGTACTTATATAAGACAAATAAAGTATATTTTACCATTGATTTTAATGTTGTATTTGTATAATAACTGGTTAACTAACTATATTATCTTAATCCGTGCTATCTAGAATAGAATGGGACTACCATTAGTTAAAATAGTATGACTGCCCAATAGGCCATGATAAGGTGACCTTAGCGCTTATATCTCAGAGCGGGTAACTCTAAATATAATTATCTTAATTCGTAGTTAGTTAGTTTAAATAATTTGTTGATCATGATTTTCATCAGTTTTTTCAGTTGTATTTAGTACTTACCGCAAAGTATGTATCACATCCGTAACATTAGTATTTAACATACATATAATAGGATTATAAAAAAATATTAAATTACTAAATCATTGTTGTTTAATTATAATAAGTAGTACAATTTTAATTTATCATGTGACCAATTTAGATAACTTTTTTTGTCATGTTTTGATTTTGCATGTACTAATTAAAATGTTGGTTTGTTTATTCCGGCATATAAACTTAAAACCAATATTAATTTTAAAAACCATTATACGTAAAAAAATTAATTTCAAATACATTATACGAATTTGCATATTTGGAAAAACATATCTATATCAAAAAATATTTCTTAATTTTTTAGAATAATGTACAATTGATGGTCAAGATATGTGAGATATCTACTTGTTTTTGCTTGAACTAAGTCAACGTCTCGTCCACTGCAGATATATTTAGGTATTTTATACGTGAAATACATACTCCACATTGTGTACAAAGTAATAACTGTTTAACTATGTATCTATGAGTTTTAAAGAAGCATTTAAAATTTTTTATTTCTATAGTCATTAATGTAAC